ATGAAACTAAATTTGGTTTAAAAAAAAAAAAAAAAAAAAAAAAAAAAAGAAGACAAAAAAAAGGGAAGACAGACAAAAAGGTGATATCAATGCTGAAGGGCAGGCATTTTATTGTTGCTTTCCCCACTTATCTTGATCTTAAAAATGTATGTCAGTCATTGTACAGGCCCTTGGATCCTAGGCCCAGGCTGTATATAGGGCCTAGATTTCTCTCAAACTCTTGTTTTCAGCTCCAAAGCCCCATGGCAGAAGCCACCAGCTACTGATGCATTGAGAATGCGTTTACCTCAGAATCGACTAGTAGCGATACATTTTGCTATCAACTTGCATGACTGTAAACATAATGAGGTGCTGTTAGAGCTAGTTCACACCAGATGCAGTCCGTTCAGTTTTGCTGCTGCAGCCAAAATACATCACAATGCTTTCATATGGGATTTCTGGTGCTCTATTCACACAGTGCAGTCCGTTCGGATGCAGTCAGAAAAAAAATACCGCTTGCCAGAAATCCCATAGGAAGCATTGTGATGTAGCTTAGCTGCAGCAGCCAAACTGAACGGACTGCATCACAACTGCATCTGCTGTGAACGGCCCTTAGTCTTGAACGATACAACCACCTGACCAGGATGCCATGAATTTGGGAAAAAGGTTCAGGTTCTACATACAGTTAAAAATGTATAAGCATTTCCGCTTTTATCATTTTAGAGACAATTTTTTCTACCTATATAGACTCTCTAAACACTAGCCATGCCTTGTTCACAGTAAGTGACCTCACCGGATAATATCTGTATACTCTTGATCACATCCCTTGCTTTCTTTCCATCTTCGATACATAACTGAGGCATCCACGTTAGCAGGGGAGAATGTGTTTGGTTCATTCAGAAGAGAGATCACACTGAGAAGGATTGTTCTGTGGATTTTATTTTTACAAAATATCAAGTTAACAATTTTATCATATCTGTAGATACCAAGGAAGAACAGTAAAAAAATTCAAGCTGTAAAAAAAGATGAAGAATTGACCAATAAAAAGGATCAATGTAGCTTAAAGCTTAACTCTGGGCACAAAAACATTAAAGATATTCTTTAATAGTCACAATGGCTCTGCAACCCGTTATTACCTTTTAAAGTAGCAGTGACTGTGCCACACAAGCTGTGCAGAGCTGTGGGAGGGACCTAACAGGCTCCACCCACTAGTCTGCCTACAAAAAACCGACAGGAGGGGGGCGGATACAAGACCAGTCATCCTGCACAGGAGAGAGCAGCACTGACTGGTCTTTATTACAGGAAGCTCCTGCACAGTGGAGAAAGTTTACACGGGATTACTGCACAGATATGGAAGAAATGCACCACATACACCAGGATTCAAGTAAGAACACACGACTTGTATTAAAAGAGCATATTTCAGCTTTACATCAGTGAAGTCGCTAATAGAGTAAAGCAGATGCAAACAAAATTGCAAAAAGGCTCATGCTTTGGTGTAATCCAGACATAGGTATTCGTTAAAGAAGAAGTATATTTATCCAATACAGTTGACTTTCATTTTGAGTAGACTCAACAACTTTACTTCGTGGCCATATATTGCCCCCATAACTTCTTGAACACAGACTATTTAAATCCATTACCGCAATAGAGAGGAGAGGATTACAAGCAGTCATATAAAGAAGATGATAGAAGTAAAAGGCTTACCGCACATTTTGAGTAGGGTTCCACCGCTCAGAAGCTAGTTCTCCACTCTGGGGGTCATCTACTGGAGGATGCAGTATGGAGATACACACATCTCCATTCTGTTAAGAAAACTGCATATATTTAATAGAGGTGCACCGAAATGAAAGTTATGAAACCGAAATGAAAAAAAAAAAAAAAATGGTCAGGCCAAATCCGAAAGTTTATTTTACCTTTTTTAAATATTTTTTTGTATTTATTAACTCATTGTTTAACCTTCATGACTGAGGCCTTTTTTCATTTTTTTGCAGCCATGTTATATTCCACATTTTAGGCCTGAAAATGACTTAAAACCCCCACACATTATATATTTTCTGAATGCCAAGACCCTATAGAATAAAATGGTGGTAGTTGCAAATTTTTATGTTGCGCAATATTAGCGCAACTCCTTATTAAACCCTATCATTTAGTGAAAAATTTAATTAAATGCCCCAAAAACAAAATACCAATTTTTTAAATGAAATATAAAAGATGAGGTTACGAGTAAAACGATAACCAACATGCCCAGGTTACAAATTGCGTGCGTCCGTGAAACGGCGAAAAACTGCAGTACCCCAAAAAGTCCATAGAAGACGCTTTAAAAGCCCCCACAGGTCATCAATTTAGAGATACCCCAAAATACTGGCCGTAGAATTATTGCTCTCACTCCGGCGTGCGCGGCGATACCCAACATGTGTAGCGTGTTCGTCGTTTTCATACGTAGGCGCACCCGACGCGTGTTTACGGGGCGACGCACATGCTCACGGGGGCGGGGGACTTAAAACTTTTTTTTATTATTAGATTTTATTTTAAAAAACTTTACTTTGACTGCTATCACATGGGGGGGGCTTACAAGCCCCATGTGATAGCAGATGGTGGTGACAGGTACTCTTTTAAAGGTGATGCTGGGGGTCCAAAAGACCCCCAGTGTCACCTTTACACTGGAAATAAGCTATTGAAGTGCAGATCGCACTTCAATAGCTTATAGCTGGGCTGCAGGAGCCCAGAACTGACAGCCCAGGGACCGGAAGTGATGCAATCTGCATCGCTCCCGGTCCCATAGAACGGGGAGGGGATCGATGAACGGAAGTTCGTCGACCTCCTCCCCAGCTCCCCGCGGACACCAAGGAAGCCGGTCTCGGGCCCGTAGGAGGGGCAACGGAGCCCAGGAAGCACTGCAGCGGTGTCCGCTCATAATTGAAGATACAGTAAACATAACTCACAACTCTCCTCCCGCCACCTGTCACAGTTTCTCTCCTCCTCGCTGGGACAAAGAACAGCGTCCAGCGGGGAGGAGAGAAAGGATGGATGCGCCGATGTATCGGCCAGAAAAATGGCAATTTCGGCATTTAGCTAAAAGTGCAATTTTCGGCAGCCCGATATATTGGTGCATCTCTAATATTTAACAAACTCTACAATAGTTATTTGTAGATTACCCTATGATTGTAAATTATCTCTAGATGCCAGCTATATTTTAAATGGATTCAGTTGGGTTTCCTGATGAACAGGTGCTGAGATAAAATATAAGCACTTAAATTTATACCAAAATCTTTTGCCTGTCCGGCTCCTTTGACCAGCGGCACACACTGTACGAATTTCAGCCAGTTCCCCAAGAACTGGCTCAAATTCGCAGAGTGTAAAGGGACTCCGTCTGCAGCACCTGTCCCCACTCTTTGGATCATCAAGTGAGGAAACAGTGAAGGAGTGAGGGACTTTTATGGCCTCCGTCTAGGAGCTCCTCCTGTTTTAAAAAAATCTTTGTGCTGCCTGTCCCTTGCAGGAGAACGAGCAATCTCTCCGGGCTACCATAGAGGAGGAAGTTGAAATGAATTCTAAACCACTAACTTGTGGGGATAACTTATGTGTTCTGCAGTAGGATCTTATGCATGTCTGAGTCCTAACTGTGCCACGCACACACCTGTGTGTATGAGGTTTGTTCTTTTGTTGTTTTTTTAAAACTTATTTCTCATCTTTTATCACAGGGATCTAAATAGGGAAGGAATGATGCACTCATCTTAATTTTGCAGAAAACTAAATGAAGCTTTTGTAGCCATAAGCTAGGGCTCAGTGCATTCATCATTGATCATCTAAGAATGGGTACAGCCAAGATGTTTTTTTTGACAAATGTGAAGCTTTCCTTCAATTGGTGGACTTCATTGAGGGATACAGGATTCAGAGCTCACTGGGACATCCAAAAAGCAGTCCAACTGAGGAGTGGACAACACAGCAAACAACATGCCAACAGGCCCACTATAAACAACAGCAAACTGGGGACTGCCTGTGGCACAAAGAGCTGCCTGATGGACCGTACATTCAAAGCTGACATCAAAAAGGGACACGAACACCCACCTGGTAAAATTTAGAGAACACGTGAACAAAAAGACCAGATGGCAGCCTTGCACATCTGAAAGACAGTTGCCCAATGTCAAAAAGCACTCACAGACCTAGTAGAGTCCGCCTTAACAGGAAAGGACATTGTTTGTTCCTTAAGACCATAAGCTTGAATGATTTGTCTGAGTCACTGAGAAATAGTAGAACGAAAAGCTGGTTCCACTTTGCGGGGACTATCAGGGATGATAAAGAGAGATAGTCCTTCTAATGGAAGAAGTGGCGGCAAGGTAGACACACACCACTCTAACTACAATGGTACCTCGGTTCACGAACGCTTCCGTTCGCGAACTCAGTTTCGGTTGACGAACACAAACGCAGCCATCTTTCCTGCTCTGACACATGGTCATGGCTTCCTGTAGTCGAGATCACGGTCTGATCAAATTGCGACCAGAATCGTGGAACGAATTAAGTTTGTGAACAGAGGTACCACTGTACAGCCAGGCAATGAAAGGAAATCTTGTTTCCGATGCCAGACAGAGGAATGGAAGCACAATGTCCTGGCTGAGGTGAAAGGCCAAAACCACCTTTGGAAGGAAGGAGGCTATAGACCTTAAAAAGGTATAGCCCACCAAAAAATAAATAAATACAATGCACACCCATTAAGAAAAAAAATAAGTAAATCATAAATAATGTTGCATTATTTATGAGATCAGTGGATTAAGCTCCTATGTACTTTTTTTGTTGTTGTTTACTTTGCAAGTCAGAAAATCTTTTTATTGGAACCATTTAAAAAAAAAAAAAAGGTAAATTATGGCCAACTGAATTCCCAACTGAAAAAGAATGAACATAGCAAATGAAAATGGTGTAAAGAGACAATCCACCTGGTGATGCACCACTTAGTTCCTCAGTGTTACAACCCCTTCCATGAAAAAATAGGAATAATGGCCCCCCTCCAGCAGTTCTAATAAATGAGGCATTTCCAGGTGCTTAACCCACACGACTCATAAATTAATCTTCAGACACTGGGTTACAGCTGCAGTGTGGACCAGGAGAGTGCTCTGCAGCTACTAACAGTACAGAAAGGTTTGGAAAGCGCCTCAATACAGAGCCCGAAGGTCACATGTATTGTGAACCAACATCCCATCCAACAGGGCGTTAATCGTCCCCTCCAACGGGGTTCAGGTACGGCCTTTAAAACTATTGCTGAGGATATGACAATTTGGATAGCTGCATAAAAGAGACCAGCTCTAGCAGCTTCTAGATAAAAATCCTCTTGGAAAAAAAAAAAAAAAAAGGAAAAATGGCTAGTAAAAACAGCTAAACATTTATCAGTAGAGAGGATGTCCATCCTACTAGTACACTAGGCATGCTCCGAGTTGGAGGGGTTATACCAGGCTGATCACTTTTAGTTTGCCAGTGTCCAAATCCTCCTGTGCGCAGCAGTAAAACCCGCTTGTCTCTCTATCCAGTGTCTCTATATCCTGTGTCCCTCAAATAATGAGAAAGAAAATTCCAAATTTTTAATGTTCACTTTATAAATCCTTGTACGAGAAAACATTGCTTACCTCATAGATGTTTGGGTGCCACATTTTTGTAAGAAACTGGAATGCTGGAGGAGCGTATGGATAATCGATTGGGAATTTCAGACGGGCCTATTTAAAAAAAACATGGAAACACACATCAGAATACTACATGAGCACTGTTTAATGTAAAGAAGGAGCTAGAGCTCTCGAATCATCCGTGGAATTGTTTCTTTGGAACAGATTTATAATTAGGCGACTACATGTGGCTTCTATTGCTTAGAGTAGATGACAGTGCAGAAAAGAGACAAACTTGAAGGGCAGTTTTTAAAAAAAAGTGCATTATTATACAATATACTACCCAGGCCATGAGAACTTTAACCCTTTGGACAGTCAGAGTGCATATCTAGTGTTCAACAGATAATGAGATCTGCCAGCACAGTACAGACAGGGTAATTATGGTAAATAATCAGGCTCCTCCTTAAAATGACACTAAACTTGGGAGTTAAAGCTTAAAAATGCATTCAAGTACCATAAGCCCTCATTCACACTGAGCAATTTGTTGCACTTTTTCTGCCCGCTCCCCCCCCCTAAAAAAAAAACCCCCATTCATTTCTATGACCATGTTCACATCTGAGTGTTTTGTTGCAAAAAAAGCCCGTCGCTTGAAGAAAGTACATGAGCTTTTTTTTTTTTTGGCACATTGGCCCCATAGATTTCAATGGAAACGCACATTTGCTGTGTTTTTGCACATTTTTACATGGGTAAAACACGCTTTTGTCCATTCACATCAATGTGTCACAATCTGTTCACAAATGTGCACAACAAGTGTGCGCAAATACGTGCGACACAAAGCTTGCTGAAAATTAGCATATTCTGTGTTGCTCAGGTGTGAACGAGGGCTCAATTAACAAAAATGTATCTTGTTTGTGTATCACTCGGCTGTAGATAATCAAATCACCTCTGAATTGGTCCCGACACTGTCCTTCCTTCTGGAGGGGGGCTACTTTTGTTCCCCATGGTCCCTGTGTGTGTTGTAAAGTAGTTACTGCTCCAAACTCGCTCCAGTGATGGACTACAATCTCAGTACAAATCAGAAAACTAAACCTGAGATTGTAGTCCATCACAGGAAGGATCTTGGAGCAGTAACTACTTTACAACACACACAGGGACCATGGGGAACAAAAGTAGCCCCCCTCCAGAAGGAAGGACAGTGTCAGCTCCAATTCAGAGATAATTTCAGGACCTACAGCTGAGTGATACATAAAACTCATCAGCTAGAGGTTATACGACTCTTTAAAAACTTGGCCAGTCAGTTGTCATCTGAATTAGGCTACATTAGGGTGCGATTAAAATGGTTTCCTAAATACATACGTCTTTGAATGATTTCCAATGGATCTATTCACACCTTCCATTTAGACACTTATTTGCAGTCAGTTTAGCAATGTATAGAAGAAAAAAATAAAAAAATAGAATTCAGGTGCGTCCAAGAATAATTTAAAATTCTAACTGCCCCAAAACGCATGTAAACACAAGAGGCGTTTATTTGCTGAAATCTTATTGGCTACTCCAACGGGCTGTTCCAATGGACAAAGAACAGATGCTTGTAAACAGGCTTCATTTTCAGCATCTAGAAGCATAAAACATTCATCTAACCTGACAGATTTTGCTGGCAGAATTCTGCATAAAAATGCAAGTGTTCGTAGCCTTATAGTTGAAGCAAATGGTTAGAAAAAATTAAATTTAGACTTCCCCCAATTATAACAAAGTGAAGAAAAAATTACCGGTAGAGGCCCATGCACACAGGTGAACGCACGCCTGTTTACAATCATAACTTGATATCTCACGCTCGGACGCTTGTATGGCGGGCTCTATTCACCTCTATGCTGAACGAGTATTGTTAAACTTGTAGCTTTGGCAGGCAAACTGTACAGAAGTCCATTGGCTCACCCACATTGTATGTGAACAGAAAAAGTCTCAGTTCAACCCAGAGGTGAATGGAAGCCATCAAGCTGTGCCTGTAAAAGCATATATGCAGCCATGTCAGCGAGGAGTCTGACTTTATGGCCCTATGGACATGGGCTCGGGCCTCCTGCATTCAACACAGCACGAGTTACTGGGGAAGTATAAACAACTTTTATGCTTCCCAGATCATTCTTCTAGCATTTAGATGTTCCTGGATTTAATCATGTAAAACCAGGCTAAACAATCCCAGGACGCATGAGGAAAAAAAATAATTTTGTAAATCTGTGTAAATGCAGCTAGACTGAATGAACCTAGACATTGATAAAAGTCTGGGTGTGCATTCAGCCATAGTAAAGCAATACAGGCTTCCAGGTGCACTTACAGATGAGCTCCAAACGCACAGATTTTAATTCTGGGGTGCACAAGGCCTAATATTCATTGAATGAATCAAAGACATTTTTCATTTACATTTTGGCTTGAGAAATGAAGGGTTTTTATTGCAGTGTCCTTGCTAAGGACACTTTGTCATCGACACTGAAAGCGAGAGAAAATCCAATGCAACAAGTTGTCAGAAAAACTAGAAAAAAGGGACAATCTTCAAAGGGGGTCACCTGTTCTGGTGACAACTGTCTAAGGACTTGTTCACGCCATATACAGTGTGTTACAGCGCGGTTAGCTGCTGGAATGCACCGTATCGCGTAATAAACACACCCTACATTCTGGGGTGGGAAGGGGTGTGGCGGTGCATTGAAGTCAGAGTCACCGCAGCCAAGCTCCCCCGCCAGCAGTGCGATCGGCAGCACCAGAACAAGGGCACATCAATGCCTGCATTCTGGTCTAGTGGGATCGGGAAATAGTGCATGTAGCATTTTTTCTGATCACAATGGAGCGCAATGCAGGCACCGTTGTGCCACGGGTTCTAATGTGGGTGATCACACTGTGGGTGGCATGGCTGCGGTGCCATCGACTTCAATGCACCGCCAACCCCCTCCCACACAAGAACGCAGTAAGCCGGCCTAGAGTTGCTATACAGTGCCGTTCCAGTGGCTAACACCGATGGGACGCTGTATATGGTGTGAACAAGCCCTTAAATAAGAACTCCAGGATTTATCTAATTTTTTTTATTAACCCTTTCAGTGAGGCTACTCCCACACTGCAAGGTTCAAGTGCTCGTTTGGGTCTAGGAAAAAAAAAAAAAGTTATACTCACCTGAAGCTCCAAGCTGACTTCTTAAACAGGTCCTTCCACAACCTCTCTAACACCTCTGTAGCGGTCTAGGGTCTTTTAAATCATCATTAACATCGATTTCCCTCACTTTGGGGAGAATTTCGTATTCCTCCTGTTGTATATAACTCATGAAGTAAAGAGGGAAATCTCTCCAGTGGTACACATGCAGAAAAAAACTGATAAGGATTCAAGGCCTCAGTCACTCATGAGAATGGGCAGACTCTGTGAGTCTCATGAATGGCTCCATGAGACTTACCTGAACAGCTGCAGAGAAGCGCTATACAAAGCAATGACAGTGCCTGCAGCCATTCACAGGTAATCAGACATGCTGTGATTACCTACAGATGATCACCCTAGGAAGCAAATAGTTTGATCGTCCACAGGTAATCACAGCATGTCTGATTACATGCAAATGGCTGCGGGCTCCATCATTGTAAAGGACTTCATGAGAATCACTTAATCCGCCCCATACGCCAGTAACTAGGGCTTGTGCTACCCAAAACTAAAAGGGAAAAGTTTTGGCTTTAGATACTTTAACTACTTTCTTCCACCAAGGAACAGAGACAGCATCCTAATCCTCTGCCAGGCCCATAAGCAGTATATCAGAGCCCATCATCCACCCATTACCTGGGTGACCCATTGTTATCAACCTGGTCCCTACTCTCCTCCTCACCTTGAAGTAACCCCCTTCGTAGAAGGTGCTGGGGGGCCCAAATATTGCCACCTCCCAGTTGTACAGATCCTCCTCATGCACCAGGGTGACCCGGAACCCCTCCAGTGGCTCCTCCTGCAGCCACTTCATCTCTAAAAAGAGCGCTTTGTGGGATCTGGGCACCGGCCTCAATTGCCGGGCCATGGCGGCTCTGCTGCGGAGACTCTGCGCACTACACACAACCGTGTTTACAGGGAGGAGAGTTGACGGACAGCTCCCGGTCAGGTCATAACGCTGGGTGCAATAAAACCCGAAAATACAGCTCGCTGTTTAACTACCCGCTGCCATAAGGGGAGGCGCGAACTACAACTATCAGCAGCGCGAGGGGCGGGGCCGTAACGCCTCTCAGTGCCGCTGCTGTTGTGTCACGTGCGAGGGGGGTGGGTGCTCGGAACACGGGGAAGCGTTTCTATGGTGGGGGAGGGGAGAGCTTGTTCTCTGTAATGGTGCTGAGGGCTATTGCCATTTACTTTTAGTTCTAGGAAGTAGGAACCATTGTTGAGGGCTTGGAGGGACGTTATTCTTTCCACTGCTGTCAAACTTGACACATTTTTTGTGCCAGGGAAGATGTGTGGTGAAGTCACCATGGCATTGTAATGTTCATACTTAACCAGTTGACATCCGCGGTGTTAAACCCCCTTCCCATCCAGGCCATTTTTCAGTATTCAGCGCTGCGGTACTTTAACTGACATTTATTCCGTCATGCAGCGCTGTACTGAAATGAATTTTATACCCTTTTTTGGGGACAGATAGAGCTTTCTTTTGGTGGTATTTATTCACCACTGGGGGTTTTATTTTTTTACTATATTAAGGAAAAATTACCGATTT